ACCTTAATTGTCTTATACCTGTCTTATCTTTGAATCACATAATGACATGTTTGTCCATTAAAAATTATGGCCACTTGTCACATACTTACAACGCAGAGAAGACAAACAGCTGTACACGCATTAGGGTCAGTACATGTCCGATATGATCAAAAGGCGGGGTAAACGTACGTTATTTGTAGCAGCAATGGCAATACTATCCTCATAAGGATGCCAGCTCATGTGCAGGATCTTCTTGTTAAAGTCGATTTGATCCGCATCGGTCTCCTTCTTCATGCGCCCGCCGACGCCAACAGGGCTGCCTGCTCTGGACCCATTCTTCTTTCCATTCGCACCCTTGTTCATCGGCGTGGGGACGCCAACCTTCTTCGCCTTGAAAGCAGACTTATCCGCCTGCAGTACGATCTCCGTCTCCTTGCTAGGGTCGGTGGGGTAGATCATGAAGTTGTTGTTGTAACTTCCAGTCATCACGTTCTCCGCATCGCCCGAGAAAACAACCTCGAACTTGTCGAAAATGCTGTCATTCTCGTATGTGTCACACAACCGCGGTCGCAAGTGCTCGTGGATGGGGATCGTCTTGACGGGTTGCTTTTCCATGTTGACATCCCAGATCTTGACGGTCAAGTAATCCCTGGACACAATGTAGCGACCGTCATGTGAAAACCGGACGTCGGAAATGGATGATATGATCTCTGAAAAGAAGGAACGGGAGGAGGCATCCTCTTCTTGCTCGAAGACTATACGAAGGAAGCCATGTCAGAGGAGGGTTTTTTTGCAGACAAAGGGGATAATCGCAGAACAACAACACGTACGCTTGGAATGTTCATCGCACAATGCTCGCTGCCGCATGTCGGCCAGCTTGATTGTGCCCTTGGAACTGGCATACATGAACCAGTTGCAACTTTGCGGGTGGAACTCTGCAGCCGTGATAACTTCCGTGAGCTCCTCCATGTTCGCAGGTTTGATATCCACAATGTTAAAGCTCTGATCCTGAATATTAAGGTTCCAGAGGTTGATCCGAAGATCGTCGCTGCTGATAAACGTCTCGCCATCACTGTTGACGGAGATGCTGTTAATGTGGTATGCGTGTGCGTTAGCGTACGTCCGCCGAGGTACAGCCGCTACAACCGTGTCATGGTGTGTCATGCGGGGCAGCTTCAGCATCGAGGGATCCTTGAACGATACACGGGGCGCACGGGGAGCCCCTCCACCACCGACACCCGCAGGAGTCAGTTCACTCGAGAGGTTGTTCTCTGCAACAACCTTCAATGACTTGTCAAAGACTTTCCAAAGCTTTATTGTCTTATCGTTGGTCGAGAGGAGGAAGTGGGAGGCATTTTGCCGTCTGCACCACTTGATTTTGTTGATCTTCTCTTCGATCTCCAAAGATTTTAGGTAGTCAAACTCCGGCTCGTGCGATTGGAATTCGGTGTGAAATTTATATTCGCAGGTTTTTTTCTGACAGACTGTTAGAAACGTCTGTCCTGAGGACATAGAGAAGGCGAGGGCATTGCTACCGTTTCGTTTCTCTCGAATAACACCACTCGTCCTCCCTTGTCACCCGTAGCTAGGTAGTTTCCGGTGTGGTCAAACTCGACGGTTGAGATGATATCCGCTGGCGAGCGAGCGAGCGAGCAATGTTAGCCGGCTCTGAAGGGATATGGTGCGGGGTTGTAGAGCGGGAGCTCAATATTCAGGAATATGAGGTGTTTAGACATACCTTCCGTAATATCTTCCACATCTCCCTTGTCACCAAAACATCTAGAGAATGATCAGCAAGAATCGGATACTGCGGGCAAGTCATTTCCTCGAGAACGGGCGGACATCGCAGTCCCCCACAATATCCCGACACCCACTCGATCCTCACCCGAATGTAGAAGAAAACACGACAAAGATCGAAAGTCGGCGCATCCACCGGAAACAACTAGCACCACTGCAGCACAGACATGCAAGGGATTCTACTCACTGGGTGAACTTCCAGGTAGGGGTACCTGGTTCCCGGTCTACCATTTTCTTTTGCAATTACCCTTTGTCGGGGTTGTCTATCAGCGACCAAGAAAGGAAGGGTCTAGGGGCCACAAATCGAGAATCTCGTTTGCGACGGCTAAGGCGGGGTCTGCAGATAGCGATTTCGTGCTGCGATAGATTCGACCTGAAGAGAACTTTTTTTTCCACACGACTGTCTAATTTCGATCGAAGCGAAAAGAAGAGGGGTAGCGGTGGGAATGACGGACAGGCGGCGAGGAATCGAGATCGGAGTGAGCCCCAAGTGGAAACAAGGAAGGTCTGGAATATCCGACTAGGGAATGGCAGAGGCGGAGAGGGGGAGGAAGGAAGCAAGGCCGCAACGTCCGACAGCAACGTGAGAGGCGGAGAACCGGGCTGAGTCACTTGCAGGCTGGAGAAGACGAATGATTGACAGCCAGGAGCTGATCAGGATAAGAAGAAGAAGAGGAGGAGGAGAGTGTAGTTAAATGGTGGGGGGTGGGGAGAGAGGAATTTTGTTTTTGGTCTTTTTGGTTTGTGACTTTGAAGTCGGGAAGAGACACCCTTCTCTTCTTGAGGATTTGAATAAGTGGGTTGTGTTTGTGTTAGTGTCTAATAATAATGGAAAACCCAAAGACAAGCACAGACCAGCCGTACTAAAAGACGACGGTCGGTTTGAAAAGGGTAGAAAGAAGGAGGGGGGAGAGGGGGGGGTGGAGGGGAAGAGTAGTTGAGGGCGGGTAAAGTGGGAGGGAGAAGAGGATGACGATGATGGAGCGAGATGGAGGAGAAGTGGTGGAGGAGGAGAGGGAGAGAGAGAGAGAGAGAGAGAGAACTGATGTGGTGGTGGTTGAGGTGAGGCGGTGGTTTGGCAAGACCCGTTCAATCGGTGGTGGGGAGCAAAGTGGCTGCCCGTAAACCCACACGCAGCATTCAACCCAACCTTAGTTAACTCCTCCGTACTAGTTAACCTAACCTAACTGTGCCGGGCGCTGACATCAACCACTGTCCCCCTCCATCGCAACCCATTGTGGTTGTTCTGCTTCTTATCTGCATCCATTGTATAATGCATGCCCATACTCCTCCGTGAAGGACCTTCTTCTGGTTTGAAGAAAGGCACTCGAAAATTAAGTCCATAATTGACCTGGTCTTCTCCCTCGTCTTTAAGGAATAAGATTGTCCTTGCGGTTGCCTTTTTGTTGATCCAGCATGAAGCTCGCCTAACAAGATATACTACTGACCACTATTGAGGCCAACAAAGGATTGAGGGGCTCACTGGTAGTTGGTAGGAGGTGGATCTCGGTCGGTTCATATACACAGGAGCCAGGAATGCGAGGAATATCTTCATATTGAGGAATTAACCCTCCCAAGCCCAGTCTCTGCCACTCATTCTTCAATACTTACTAAACCGTTGCAAGCTTCATGGTTCCTGCCGCGTTGCCTGGAATCTCAGGACTCCCGCACCCTTTCTGGCCTGAGGCTCCCTCACATGCACGCCTTCCTACGGATCCCGACTCCCTTGGGCCGAACAACTAATCATTCTCGTCCGGAATATCGACAGGAAAAGTTACTAGCCTCTCTTATCTTTGCTTTTTCTACTCAATCTGAAATTTCTCTTTGAATTGTTTGTACTTGTCTTAATGTTGTTGGCGACCTGGTACTGTACCTCACTGGCAGTAGCACTGACTCTCCCCGCCCGCCATGTCCGACCAGAAGAAGCGGGGCAGTGACGACAAGGTCGCAAATACTCACCGCAACGAGACCAATTCCTCCCAAGGTACCAATGACCGTCCGGAGAGTCCTTCTCTAGCTACTCGAATCCAAAACTCAGCTTCCGGGCTTGCAAAGAATGTTTTTTCCGCCCCTGGCTCGTCCGCAGATTCCGCTCAACTGCTCGCGGGCAGCGGTAAGGCCGGGCACTCATCGTCACACTCGGCGCTAGCCGCAGCCCAGCAGTACACAGATACTTCTACTACTTCTGCCTCTTCCTCGACTGGGAATTCTTCACTACCTGCTCCTGCGGAAACATTTCGCTCATCTTCTACTACGCAACAGGGAGGGTTTCAGCTCCCTCCACTCTCGGAAGATGAATTCCAGCGTACTTACGGCGCGGAATCCCTTGTTGGAAACAATGACAGCTTCATTGCAGGTCTAAGCGCGGACGAAACCACCAGCAAGGGGAAAGGAAAAGGAAAAGCAAGAGATACATCAACGGACCCACTCTCCAGCGATGCAACTAATCCAATCACACTCGAACAAAGATTCCTACCCGACCGACCCTCTCTCCTCCCATCCGACGGCGACGCAGTCGTATCCCTCCTCTCAGACCAGACCTTCGATCCCGAATTCCCTCCCACAGCCGACGAGCCCGCCGAGCTCGTCGAAACAGAGCTGCTACCAATGCAACTCACGGCCGAAGAAAAAGAAATGATCGAGTCCTTCCGCCGTCTCACACCCCCGACATCGTCCGGCAATAACACATTGACATCCCGCAGTCTAGTCCCAGATATTGGCGACTTTCTAGACACCCTCCCCCCAGAAAGTCATTCCGACGTAGCCACCCTGCGAGACACCGTGCTGACGGGTCTCCCCGGCGCAGCAGACTGGCTGAGTGTCGAGGACCGATACCATGACGAAGTCTGGGGCTACCTGCGCCCTACGCTAGAGGCTGCGGCCAAGGAACTGAAATCCAATAAGGAGTCCGGAAGCACGGAGGAGGGGCCTGCCGTGCGACGTCTGAAGATGATCTTGAGGCACATGCAGCAATGATGACCCGGATTTGCCGAGGACTAGTTAGTACTCCCGGCTTATTCATATATGTTGATTGATATATTGTATTATAATGATCTGATCCGGTAAATGGATCACTGCCGCGAGGATATATATACATATACACATGTTCTATTCTGTCTTCACTGATCATGATATACTACTAGTACTGGTATCGTTGCAGCTACTATTTACTAGTTATGTGCTACTATCATTACCAATGTCTTACAATATCTGCTGGTGACTGTCTAAGAACAATTGAATAAGATTGTATCTTACATACTAGAGACAGAGTGACTCCTGGAAAAACAACGAAAACTATTCATCATCACCAAGGACGTGTGGACATGAACATGCTCGACAAATAAATAAAAGACAAAAATGGGTATGTGATCTCTTCCGGGTTACTTTCTCTTTCCCCAACGTGTATATCTCCAATTCTAATTTTCATGGAAATGTTTTTACAGCTCAAGGCTAGGGGTCTGGCCCTTGACACGGCCAATCACAATGTGACCAGCGTACTTAGGGATGACCTCGTCGTCGTGGAGCATGGCGAACTCTGTAATAGAGGGGTAAAGTTAGTATATATATTTCGGTGATGGGATGGGACAAAGTTGTGCAAGACATACCTTCTGTGGCATCGCGGCCCATGAAGTTGAAGAGAGCGTTAGCTCCACCGGGGTGCTCGTCGAGCCAGTTGGTCACGTCCAGCACGACACCCTTGACGACAATCCACAGGTCGTCCTTCTTGTTGTGCTTGGCGATCTCCTCCATCGAGTATTCCTTCTCGGGAATGCTGAACTTGGCGGGCTCCTTGGGCTTGGCTGTCTCAGCGGCACCGGCAGGGGTGGCAGCCGACTTGGCGCCCTGGGCCGCGGCAGCGGGGGTTCCAGCACCGGCGGTGACCTGGCCGCCGGCAGCACCGGAGCCGCCCCATTCGACGGAGATCTTTCCGGGGGTGGATGGGTCGATGTGCAGGGAGATCTGGCCCAGACGCTGGGCGGCCGTGGAGGCACCGCCGGAGAGCAGCTTCTGGAAGAGGTACTGGCTGGCACTGTCACCCGCAACGCGACCGTACACGACACAGCCCAGCAGAGAAGAACCACCCAGACGGTTAGCACCGTGGACACCACCAGCCAGCTCACCACAGGCGTAGAGGCCGTCGAAGGCCTCCTTCTCGGAGTTGAGAACCTGAGCGTGCTCGTTGATCTCAATACCACCCATGGTGAAGTGCAGGACAGGCTCCATCAGAGCGACGTGGAAGTCGTCATCGATGCTGAAGGGCAGGTTGTGGAAGAAACGCTTGTTCCAAGGGTCCTTCTTCTTGCCCTCGGCGATCAGGTTGTAATCGTCGAAAGTCTTCTTGAGGGCAGCCTCGCCGCAACCGATCTCCTTGGCGAGCTCCTTGCCGGTCATCTTCTTCATCAGACCACGGCCGGAGTAGTGGCGGGTGTGGAAGTCCAGGACATTGGATGCCTTGCTGTTGAGAATGAGACGGATGGGCCACTTGCCCTTCTCTTTCTCCTTCCACATCTGTCCCGAGACATAGTCACGGTGACCCAATTCATCGGAGAACCGCTGGCCGTCCGAGTTGAGGAGGAGACCACCCTCACCACGCAGGGCTTCAGCAGCCAGGAACTTGAACTTGGCGGTCGGGTCCTTGGGGTCGACAAGACCCGTGGGGTGCACCTGAACCTTATCCATGTCAATGCCGTTGGCGCCGATCTCCATCAGCATCTTCTGACCATCACCAGTGGCGTGAGTGCCGTTGGTGCTGGACAGACCGAAGGTGTCGGGGCGGTGCTGCTTTAGGAGCGAGCCATCACCGAAGTCAGCAGCGTAACCACCAGTGGCCAGAACGACCACACCCTCAGCAGTATGCGTCTCGCCATCGTACTCGTAGGTAACACCGGTGACATTGTTTCCGGACTTGTTGATGGAGGTCACACGGGCCTTCTTGATGATCTGAACACGGTCGGGCTCAGCCTCGGTGAGCTCTTCTAACCGTTGCATGAGGGCGTATGTGATGGCCATTCCCGGGAACTTGGCATCGTGGCCACGATGCGTACGGGGCTGGGAGTGACCGCTGCAGAAATTAGCATGGGTTGCGCGACAACAAAAGTGTAGATGAACAAGGAGAGCGCAAGACTTACCCTAGCCGGGAAACAAGGGTGAGATCGAGGTTGAAAACATCCTGCAACCACTCGACGGCAGCGGCAGATTTGTATGTGAGGACCTTGATGAGCTCGGGACGAGCCTTATCTCTGGCCGATTTGAGGGTATCATCGTAGAATTGCTTGACGCTGTCGGCGATGCCCAAGTCGACCTGGGTGCGCGTCAAGGCGCCGTTAATGCCGGAAGTGGCCTTGGTGGAGTTGCCACCAAAGAAGGCTGTTTGGGTCAGATCCCAGGTCCTTATATAAACAACAATAATGCGACTGCAATTATCGCAGGAATTCTGGGGGTTGTAAACATACCCTGCTTGTCTAGAACGAGAACATTTCCACCGTTAAGGTAGACGGTGTGGGCGGCACTAAGCCCGGACACTGAGAGACGAGGCAATGGTCAGCAATGCGGGGAAAGCTATTTCCTGGCGGTGAAGATCAACTCACATCCACCGCCGACAACAATTACTCTAGGGGCGGTTGCCATCGTTGTGAGAAGAAGATGTAGGAGGAGAGGGTGAGGAAAAAGAAATCAGAAGATGAATATGGGGGAAAGAAAAGAGATGAGAGAAGAGGAGTTTAAAGGGTCAAAAAGCAGGTAGGAACAAGTAGATCTTTAAGCAGCAGGAGATCCGGGGGAAGAAAGAGAGAGAGCCAGGGCATTCAGAAGCCGACGGGGGAGAGAGACTGAGTTGCTCACTCGGCCGAGGCTCATCTTTCTTTCTTTCCCCCATTCAATTTCCAACTTGGTATGTACCGTACGATTACCGTTCTATGACCCCCCTCTTCTTATCCGTCTTCTATCTTCTACTCTCCCTTTTCCGGTCCGGTAATGTTCCCTTTCTAATTTTTGAGGACTCATCAAAATGTCTAAAGTGGATTCGATGGGTCCTTTCTCTTGTCTGTCTGTCTGTCTATCTGGCCTGTGCTTTTATGACTGACTGAATGACGGGTTCTATAACTAGTTTATAGAGAATAATAAGTAGACAGTAGACATTTGATCTCCTCCCCTGTCTTTGATGACAAAGTACTAGTGAGTTTTCCAGGGACCATCACATGCAGAAGTTGTCCGTCACCAGGAGCTGCAAGCTGACCCCTGCGGTAGTCTTCCCATGACATACTATTACTACCACTACTAGTACTTTGATGGCAAAAAGAAACTAGAAACTCTCCCTGACTTTCACATGCCTCGAAATCCAGAAGCAACCTTCTCAGCAAATGAAATCGTAGGCTTAAGTCAGCGCGGCACGTCATGCTCTTGGATTTAAACTCTCACCCCGGATTCAAGATTTCGTCTCAATTTTGAGATGATAGGTAAATCCATGATTGAAATTGTATCTATGTAGTGACTTGAATGTAGCTCCCCTCTTAAAGATATTAGTGTTGTGGTCTCAATATATATTTACCACAGGAATAAACATACCTACCATCAATAAAGTCCATACTATCTATCTACTATGCAATACACCCTATTCAAGGTATCAAAAATACCGCATACATAACATACACATATCCATACAAACAAAGACAGGGTAGACACCCTGAAGAATGCAATGTTACCCCAGGTGCCTGCCTTGAATATTTACCTCGGACCGAGTAACCCCATCTACCATCCATCATCACCACACCACCGACCATGATCTCAGATCAGCCCATAAACCCTACTCACTCAGTATAACCCCTGAAGACCATAATGCTACGTAAGCATACCTTAAAACAAGCATTAACATACAACACATACACACATACATACAAACATACACAGTACTCCCCACATACCAACAACCGATCCCTCTCCCCCGTCACCTGACCCTCCCGGCAATTGACCACCACCTCGCATTCCCACCAATCAGCATCCCGTGATTGAATTCCGACGACTCAACTACGTAATGACGTAGATCCGTCGTTTATTGAACTTGCCGTTTTTGGAAGGTTCGATTGCCGTCGCTTTTTCTTCTTTTATTTTGTAGGGGTTTGCAACTCACTAACAGACCGCGTTCTGCAGACATCTTGTTTGTTGTCTACTGCTTAAACATATTAAATCTGAGATTTGTTCTATTAGCGTCGTATCGTATTTATGTGTTTATGTATGTATGTAACTGGTCAGTACAGGGTTGACGGGCGGGCGAGAGAGAAAGAGAGTGTGTGAAGTTTCGGGAATAGATACCCCGAACGACTCAGTAAGCTCTGAGCATGAAGAACTCTCGGGGTTATTATTGGCAATGAGATACACCGAAAAGCTGTGTATGTTTTTCGGGTTTGCTTTTGCACAGTGTAATATATGGACTAAAATGGTCTAATTAATTTAGCATCGTAGAGCTAATTGTATGATGTCGTAGTAGTAGCCATTCAGACTATAACAATCTAGACACACTGTCTCGAAAAAGCAAACTATTTTGTTCCATAACTCACCAGCTACTAGTCCACCACCTCGCTAGACATCTCTGCTGTCCCTTCATCAAGCACACCACTATTCGGATTCTAAAGCTTAGCCTTGTAATGCGCTACCATGCGATCTGCAGTCATAAGCGCCAGCCCTCCAACCGTTCGTGATTTAGCAATCTCAGCCACACTAACATCGAGATTCATATTCCACCGCACCCAGCTCTTGATATCGAGTGAAGCAAGGGAATCAGTTGGCATCGCCCATTTCATGTCCTTCGTCGAGATCCTGCGATCCGATGAGTGACGAGGAAATCAAGCGAACGGTTTCCTGTATAATAAGGCTGCGAGATTCTTCTATGAGCATGATATTTGGGTCTCTGTCTGCTCGGAGGGCCAAATCTCTGAGAATGTTGCTTAACTGGATTCACCGGGTCGCTCAGAGGAAGGAAAATCGATATTTGCGTAAGGCGCAAATCGAGCGTCTTGACTATGCCATAAAAGACGGACCGACGCATCGGAAAGTGGTCTGGTATATCCAAGCCCTTCAAGACCTCATCTTCATCCAGAAGCCATGTACCAACAGCTTGCATTGACTGTAGGAGGTTTGGTTGTCGGCTGATCAGTCCGACTTCGCCAACGGCTCCTAGCACCAAGACTGAGGATGGCAGACCAAGCTGGCGACGGTATCGTGAGAAACCTTCAAGGAACGTGTTTGCAGCTGCGAGTTGGTCTGCCCGGCGTTGCCACAAAGTCCAACTACAGAGCTAAATAGAACGAAGAATTCCAAATCTTCCCTTGAGACCGCCTCGTGCAAGTTCCATGTACCCTGGACCTTGGGGGCCATTGATGCCTGCCAATACTCATAGCTCATTCCGGCAAGGACGCCATCCTATACATAGAGTAATCAGTGCGCTTTCCATTATCACCTTGATGGCCAGAACTCACTTTCGAGCACAGTAACATCTGCAGGACTCCCTTCAAAGGTGATTTGCATATCGTAACGGCGTTTTATACGTCCGCAAGGCTTGCCACACTACCCCTGACACATTGCACATGGCACCCTGCAGCCTCGAGCTCGCATATAAACTCCTTATCGTCCTCAGCAACTCCTGCGTTTCGAGAAAGAAACACTAGGTGACGTGCCCCTCTCTCTACCATCCATACGGATACTGCTCGTCCCAATCCTCCGAGCCCACCCACCAGAAGGTAGGATGCATTCAAGTGAAATGACACCGACCTTTCTATTATCGAGCTGGGCAGCTGGTTGGAGCTATCAGGCATTCTTACTACTATCTTGCCAATATGGTTTCCTTGCTGCATATACCGGAAGGCTTCTGCTATGTCGCGGGCTTCGAACACTGTGACCGGGCGAATAGGAGCAATATTGCCCTGGGTATATAATGCCGTGAATCTATCAATTACGCTTTCTGAAGCATTAGCCTGCAAAACTAATGAAGGCCTGATGCTTAGAATACTGACTTGTCATATATCACCCCATTCTCTAAGAATATCTGGAGGAAGTCGACACCAAGAAAGGCACGGTTTTGGATAAATGGCTTTAGAGTGAGCATGCTATTGAGGAGAAAGTCCCGCTTCCCCAGTTCAACCATCTTTCCAAATGGGGCAACACACGCCCACGAGGCATGCAGTAAGGGCCCAGCAAGCGAGTTCAGGACAATATCCACGCCGCGTCCGCCTGTTGCCTCTAATACGGACTGAAGAAAGCTTGTGCTCCTGGAATCAAATATGTGAGAAGAGGGGATGCCCAATTTATGCACGAGATAGTCCCTTTTCGCTTGAGTCCCAATGGTTGCATATATCTGTGCTCATTCGTTAGGGAAGACAGGGAGTAGTACTTCTCGCCTTACATACTTTGGCACCATGTATCTTGCATATCTGAATAGCGGCTAGACCGACACCCCCACATGCAGAGTGAATGAGAACAGTCTATGTACTATTATCATGCCGTCATACAATCCAAGAAAAAGGGCATCAAAACAGAGCATACCTGATCTTTCTGAACCCGTCCCACGTAGTCCAGCGAGTAAATTGCTGTTAAGGATACCAGTGCCATGCCTGCCGCATCTTTCATCGACAGCCCGCTGAGCAGCTTTCTACAGTGTTTCTTATTGACGACAAAATGTGTGCGAAGGATTCCAGGACTCACCACTGACACTTCATCACCGGCCACAAGGCCGGTGACACGCTTGCCTACTGGCGAACGGTTCCACTTCCCTCTAGTCCCAGCTCATTTGTACTTCCAACATAGCCCAGAGTGGCCAGTACATCCTAAAAGCTGTTACTTATATGCCAGCGGTGTAGACGCTAATGAGCACTAACCCTGTAATTCAAACCAACATACTGTAGGTGAACCTCAATGTCATCACCACCCAGGTCCTCTTCGCGATATTCCAACCACTTCAGACTGTCAAGCAGACCAGCCTTACCGACATGTATCTTCTTGGGATATCTTCCGACTCGGGGATGCTCTTCTGATCCCCAGGTGGCCAATAAAATTGGCTAGTGTATATGGTATTCTCATGGAAGGCAAATTCGTAATCCAGATAGTCACCTGCCACATCCTTGGACTGTAAGAACTTTTGGACAATCTTCTCTAGTGCATCTGCAGTATTTTGCTCAAGGGACTCAACCTCAAGCATGTATATATCAATCAACAGCTCTTGTCTCACAGATCACACAAAGCCTTGCGCAAGACCGAAGTTCGGGTCTTCACTAGTGACTTGCGTGCTCTTCGTAACCCATAGTGTGACACACTGACTGATCTGTGCTAAATAATCTCTTAATGCATCATAGTAGGCCGCTGGTGTAAGTTGCTGGGAGTTATTGTCACAGTACAAGTTGAGGAATACTGTCCAGGCTAACCGCCCGGGCACGTGACCCCTTTGGGGATAAAACCTGCCAGTTTTCAGGACTCTGCTTGTAGCTTCGAGCTATATCTTGTCTATTATCCTGTATATATTCTGACTGTAGTAGCTGAACTAGTTCCTAATACTTCCTGTTCCCTGCTTGAACTACTGTTCTACCACCCCAGCCAGCCCGCACCCTAACAAAGCCTGTCGACTAGGTAAGGAATCGGCCACTAAACACCATAGATTCGTCTAACAATGACAAAGGTAGCCTATATCCACAAGATAGACTGATTCTTGAGGGATCAGTGTTACAGACCCCTGCTAGTTAACCTACTAGTAAGACAGACTCACCAGGCAGAAAGCGCTGTTACGGGCCGCGCTCAGATAAAACCAAACTATTATTTAGTATAATCACAGATTGCTAATATAATACTTAGAACGTCCACGCGTCACATGACTATATGGGTATGTGGCACAGACTACAGATAGGTATACAGTATATAGACTATTATATATAGAATGGTATATAATATATAAAGAATAGAATATATAAGAATACTCTTTCATGTACTTAGTTCTGTTCTTCACATTTAATATAACTGTCATTAATTAATTATATGTTTAGAACTTGCTTAGCTACAGAACACTTATCCGCACATATAAATAGCTGTGTGGTATTATTCAGTCTTATTTCTCTTCTCTTACCCAAGACCAGTTGCTCTTAGATAGTTACCAGCCTGATACACCTTCGACCCAGTTCAGTGGTACGTATACCAGTGAAGCTAAGCTAACAGGGACGGGGAAGCGATCCTAGGGTTTGACAATCAGTAGCTCGATACTAGGAATCGGCACCTTATAGGTGTCGAAAGAGTGTAGAACCGCTATCAATGACCTCACGACTCTTATAATTACTATGATACGTCATCCCGATGGCTTTACTCCCGATAGCTAGGTTATTCTATCACAATGGACTTCGGCTTGGATGTGTAAGTAGCAAGATATTGTTATCTAGAGACCGTTGACGGTTCTTATTCATGAACCCTCATATTTCAAAAAAAAAAAAAAAAAAAAAAAAAAAAAAAAAAAAAAAAGAAAAAACAAAAAAAAAAAAAAATTTCGTGAATTAAGCTTTAGTACTGAAATCAAAAGCTGGCTGAAGAAGCTCCAATCTCTCCATCAGTCCCAATTGAATGGCTCGTTCATTGGCCATATCACATGACTTCACGTGCCAGATCTTCTACAGTGGGATGTAAAAAGTATTTAGAACACCCGAAGATGGCTAGATTGCTCCAACAGTACACCGCCTGCGTAAATACTTTATCATGCCGGACATAAACCTCTTCTCAATCAATACTTTGTATACTAATCCTCTGCTTCAATGACTGCCTTTACACGATGAGGCAAGTTAATACTCTTGCTTCAATAGCATGCCAGGCCTCTTTTGCTGTTCAACACGGCTTATCAGCATCCGCGACACAACTAAATCTTTCACCTTCAGTAGATTCATGAGCTAGCTTGGGAGTTTAATGATATCAAAAAAGGTATATTCTATTAGCTGTTAACTAGACCTGAATATTTTAAGATCTGTGCCTAAATATACTTTCCATGACCCGAATTTGTACCAGGTGTGCCTGCACCTGGAATTTTAATTCATTGAATGAGATCTACGAAGCCAGTACTGCGTTGGGAGGCCGCAGCATCAATTCAAACCGTCTAGCTCGATATACGTATGTGGTATTCGGTATTATTAAATCTTTATGCTACTCTTGTTTTTGTTGAAAGTCACTGATACTGTTTGATTAGGATCTATCCCTGGTTTTTGCTGACCGATAAACTCCTCTGTTTGAAGCTATAATTACTTTAACGACCGTGCAGTCAAATAAGAGCAATATGTAACTCCTGTAAAGGCTACTGGCGTGTTCGATTTTCTCTCATATAATTGTTCGCATCGACGTGTACCTTATTTGCTATGTATATGTTTCTGCCTCCTATATGCGCTTTAATTGAGGGCTTGGCTCCGTCCAGATTTTAATGAATCTGGGGTTCCCCAAACCCTCCCTTGATCCCTGCATGCCCAAAGACCTCAGTGCTCCGCCTGATCTATTTCTCTACCGTCAACAGCTCCGAATTGCCCCAGGAGCCCAGTACGTATCATAAATTTGGCTGCTCGGATTGCTAGCTTAGGCGTGTTAAGGATCTTCTTCGGACTTCCTTCTCTCTCAGGCCCCACCCCCCAATCCTTCTGCCGAATATCTCTTCGCGAAGGCTTTTGAGAAGAGGACAGGCAAGGAGCACATGTTGCACTGTCTGGGTTGCTTTGCCGCATTGACAGTCTGCATCTGATATGTTTGGCACTCCTCGTTGGTAGTATGGAATTCGGTTAAAATATGTTCCGCATGACTTGACCAATTAACGTTAGCTTGCTGAAGTCAGCGCTCTCGATCCCTAGTAACATATCTGCTCTCCGCAGTCCCTCGTCTGTATCTGGCATTAAATCTCTCCCAAGACGCATGTCTGCATCAGAGGTTCCATTCAAGCACCTAAATGCCTGCAACAAATGCGCGGCGCGCAAGGTTAAATGTGACAAGAAGGAGCCATGCGGTGCCTGCCACCGTGCTGGCGCCGAGTGCATCTATCCAACCATTGTGCATCGTCCCCGCAAACGTAAGTTCCAGTCCTCGCCAGATGTTCTAAAGAAAAAGTTGGGAGAATATGAAGATCTTCTTCGCCGCAATAATATTCCGTTTACTCCTTTTCCAGCCAATGATGTCGAAGCCGTGACATCCAATATCGAAGCGGCCGCCTCACCAGGTAGTAGATCGTCGCCGTTGGGCCATGTTGGACCATTGAATGCGCAGGATTCCGATCGTCAATCACTATCTGATGCTCAGGGCCCTGCCTCTAATGACACCGTTACCATCGGTGGGCTAGTCTTGAATCATGATGGCAGCAAGAATTATGAGCATTCAATGCTCGCGACCTTGAGCAAAGAGGTGGGATCTCGGAGTGAAGCTTTCGTTTAATTACTCTGACCTATGCCTCCTAGTTTACACCCAATACGCCACAAGCCGAATCCACTGGTACTTCCTCAGTCCGGTCGCTGATTTGCCGAATGCTTTTCTCCCCTATCGGGCCCAGCCAGTCCTCTTCTTTGGTCATCCCAGCATCCCATGAGGAGCAATTATGGTCTATCTTTCTTCGGGATGTCGACCCTTTAACCAAAGTCATCCACTGGCCGGTTGTAGATCAGCTAAGGGAGCGGAAAATATCCGCAAACCCCACCCCAACCTGCTTCGACGCTCTGTTGGCCTCTATCTATGCATGCGCAATAGTTCCTTTGGGGGAAGTTGAGTGCCAGACGATGTTTGGTCATGGTCGCGCAGTCCTAATAGAACATTATCATGCGGCCACGAGAAAAGCCTTGTTTGAATTGGATTTTCTCCACTCGTTAGACCTTATGCTTGTCCAGGCATTGGCGCTATTATTGGTATGTATTGTTCTCCTCGACTCACCAGATGCTCTATCTTCGTCTAACCTACGGTAGACGTCCATTCACCAGCTGTCCGAGCCTTCGCTTTGCTGGTCCATACTCGGTCTTGTCATTCGCAAAGCTCAGACAATCGGTCTCCATCGTGACGGCACCTCATTAGGTCTTCCTCTATACGAGTGTGAAATCCGTCGACGTGTCTGGTGGTATCTGGTTACTCTTGATATGCGCGTATCTGAACTGGCTGGGGCTGCTAACCCGATTATCTCACAACCCTGGGACACTAATTTCCCCACGAATATCAACGATCAAGATCTCCATCCCGATATTGATTATTTAACACCAGCCACGGACGGGCTGACCGACATGAGTTTCTGTTTGTTCCAGTACGAGGCGGTTCGCCTTGTTCGATCCGCCTACCTCGCTGCATCGCCTGAGTTCATGCTGCGAAACAGTCCTCGCATGCTGCTCTCCATTGAGCAAATCAATGTCTTCCGCAGGACAGTAGAAGACAGATTCCTTCGCTTCTGTGACCCTGTAATTCCTGTACATTTCATGCTCAACTCTTTTGCGCGCTTAACCCTGTGCAAGATGCAGGCGTTTGTGCAAGAGATTCGGCCCAAGGAGCGGAAACCGCAGCAATCATCGCTGTCGGACTCGGGGTCCAAGTTGAGTTACGGCTTACGAATGCTGGAATATGACCAGTTATTGCACTCAAACCAATCCGTTCATGGATTCCGCTGGTTCATCTATGCCCAGTTTCCATGGGGTGCTCTCATCTGGTTGCTTCAGTCGATGCTAACCAAGAATTGGGGCGCGAGAGAAGATAACACGTGGCACCACATCGAGACCCTATATCAGCGCTATCCAGAGCTATATGACGAGGATCGAGGACTACATCGCTTGGTGAATACCCTTGTTCTTCGAGTTTGGTGGCTTCGGCAGGCACTTCGGAAAGGGGCCGTCTTACGAAGCAAAGTGGAACCAACCCCCCATTTCATCACCGAACTACTGTCGAAGCCTTATATCCGGAGCGATCAAGTCGCGCCTTTGGAGACCCGTGAAACTGTTCCCAACGAGGGCGCTCATGGTGCGGCTCCTTCCACGAGCGAGGCTACAATCATGGAGCAGCTCGATGACTGGGATCAATTATTGTTTATGCCCACTGCTTCACTGGAATCGAACTTTGACTTCAGTGCCTGGCTTACTTGAAAACGCAGATTCAATGCAAATGGTGAATACTCTAAGCGGAAAACTTCTGTTCTAAATTCTCTTCTTTCTCGCAATGGACAGACAACATGTTATTCCTGGACCGGCCTGTTTTGACCCGAACTTACTTCCTCGTCTTCGCAATTCGTCTTAAGTAAACTCCTCGGTACAATAAAAATTGCAGCAAAGAATGTAACTGCGGATGTGGCTGCGGTGAGGTAGAAAGAAGTTGTCACAGCCTTGTTATATATGTGCAGGAGAGTGGCTAGGGTTTTTGTCGGCACCATGCTCCTCAGTTGCGTCGCCCCGGAGCTCACGATGGCTGATGCATCCACGTCCGGCAGGCTGTCATGCAGACCCAAGACTAATTTGCTGGAGACAATATTCTGTGCAATGGCAAGCGCAATTGAACCTCCCAGCTGTTGACAGAAGAATAAAAGGGAGAGTACGGAAGGCACGTCGGCTTTGTGAACCACCATCTGCACGGCTGTAGCACCCTGCTGCATGCCCAGACCCAGACCAATACCAAAGAGAGCCTGATATGAGATCCATTTAGCGTGGCCTGTTGCCACTGTGAACGTACTGAGCAGGCCCGCACCCACCGTCATCAGGACAGATGAGATGATCATGAACAGTGATGGGTAGCCAACGAGCTTCGATACCAGAATCCCCGAAATCATGGATCCGATGACCAGGGATAGGAGCAACGGGATGTTCATCTCTCCCGACTTGACCGCACTGGCGCCCTTGATTGCTTGGAACCAGATCGGCAAGTAATAGACGAGGCTCATCATCGATGCGCCGATAAATGCTGTATACAGCGCACTGGCCGCAACGGTCCTGTCTGCGATGAGCCGTGGCTTGATTGTCGAGTACTCTCCTTCTAGCCACTGGTCCACGCCAAACAGAATGAAAAGCACGCCGCTAAGGACGAGGAGAATAAATATCCGGGCGGATTTCCAAGCATAGGTCGAACCACCCCATTCCAGGGCGAGCACCAGACATACTACAGCAGGAACCATGAAACAAAGACCAAGCGGATTGAAGCGTTGGATCCGCTTCCAAAGGCGCATGCTGCCACCACCAGCAGTAATCCCTGTTCGATCCTGTTCCACCTCATCCTTATCGCCCCCTTTCCCCCCAACAGGAAATATCAAAAATATGACTATCATCGCAACTGCGCCTATAGGCAAATTAATCAGAAAGCACCACCGCCACGAAGCACCCGTGGTCAAAGCGCCCCCAAGCAGGGGTCCAACGATGGCCGAGACGCCAAAGACGGCTCCCAGAATTCCCATGTACATCGGCCTCTTGGGCAACGGAACGGTCTCAGTAATGATGATCATGCACCCGGCTGTAATTCCGGCCGACCCTATTCCTTGAACAGCACGGCCAAGGATCACCGCAAGGGAATTCGAGGCCCCGCCGCACACGGCCGAGCCCACGATGAACACCAGCATGATCGCTAAGAAGACGTGTTTGGACGCATATATCTGATACATGGTCCCCAGGGGCAGCTGCATTACCGAGCCGGTCAACATATAGGCGCTCCCGTACCATGCCATATCGTCGAAGGAATGGAATTCGTTGGTGATGGTAGGGATGGCGGTCGAGATGATTGTCCGGTCCTGACGGCGAGCGTTCACGGGTCAGCACATTCATCTTTAAGCCCCCAAAATGGAAAGGAGGGACTCACCAAAGACACAAGGAACATGCAAAGGGATATTGAAATCATGAGAGCGGCAAGCTTAACTCCATCGATATAGTGGTTGGAATCCTCTGTTGGTTCCCGTTCCAGGGACGCAGCAGCTTCGGGCTCGGACATCGATACTGAACGATGAGAAGAAGATAGAAGATGAAAGACGAAAAGAAAAGAACAACGGAAGAGAAAGGGAAAGAAAATTCAGCTTAGCGGTGCGAGTTATTTTTGACGAGGAGTCAGATTTTGATATAAATCTATCTTCTCGATTGTTCGGGACAGTCAATCTCCGAGACGCATAGATCAACAAAATTTTGCGGTATGCAATTCACCCCTGTCCAAATTAGACCACTTAATGAACCTGTGGTGGCCATTTTTAGCAGCCATACTGCCAAGCTGTCTACTTTAATCAGGCTTTCCTATTTTTGACACGGAAGAGGAAAAAGGAAGAAAAGAGTAAAATCCAAAATAACATTATGTGGTTGACTCGGCATCTCGGAGAGTGGGCCTCGGAGGCACCGGAACCAATCGGAGGGTTGACATGGCCAAGCCCCAAACGTCTAATTTCGGAAAGTACTGAGGATGAGTATATATTGGAGTACATATTTTTCCCTTGTCAAGGTTGATCGATTGACCTTACTGTGCGAAATCGCCCCTCGACTTCGTCTTCATGCTCCCTAGCACTAGAATCACACGCATACTTGTTGCCAGCTTCACAGTTGCTGGTTGCGGAGTATACTCATTCAAACGACACCTTATAGAGGAAGCACTGGCTGAGACACCAGAACAAGAACCGCACGTCATGTTCCGTGGCTTCAGGCCAACATCTCTGCGTGTGCAAAATGTCGAATCTCTCAGTCACAACACTAAACGCCTTCGATTCGAGTACCCGGATCAAACCTGGATATCAGGGTTACAATTGACATGTATGTACATGGGACAGCCTATCCTTTTTCTCATCCCCGTTTCCTTTTTCGTCAGCCACAAATGGTGAATAACAGGCTAATAACTTCGTTGCAGCATCTGTCTTAGTATTTTGCTGGCCCCAAAAAAGCTGGTTCCCGGCTATTCGACCATACACACCGGTCAGCAGCCTGAGTATGTCAAACCCAGCAGCCGATCTACTCTCTCTTCCACAAACCCCAAAAGGGCCGTGGCTATGATATTCCCACCTTCTTCATTTCTCCCGGGTGACCCATTCTCAGTCAGTTCCAATGGCTGATATACAATCACATGAAAAACCCAGACCAGCGCGGCTTCCTCGATCTCGTGGTAAAGAAATACCCGCATGGAAAGGTGTCTTCACACCTGCACACATTGCAACCAGGCGACTCCCTCTATTTTCTCGGCCACTTACCTGGTGGATATCGATGGTCCGCGGCGACTGCCAATGAGCACTCGCGGGTATACCTTATCGCTGGCGGATCGGGCATCACCCCCACCTACCAACTCGCCCGAGGCATCCTAGAGGACAATCCGAACGCCAACACCAAAGTGCAAGTGGTGTTCGGGGCTAACACCGCGCAGGATCTTGTCCTGAAGAAGGAGTTAGACATTTTGCAGCAGAGGTTTGCCGACCGGCTTCAGATGCATTATCTGGTAAGCGAGGCGGGACCCTCAACGGGAGAAGCGGATAACAAAGACGTGAGCTACGGGGCGCGGGTGAACACAAGTCGTTTGCGGCAGCTTTTCGGGGTGAGGCGAGAAGGAGATGAAAAAGTGTTTGTCTGTGGGCCTCCCGGGATGGAGAAGGCCTTGGTGGGAGGCAAGTCTTGCGGACGAGGCATTCTTGAGGAGTTGGGGTTCCAGAAGGACCAGGTCCATATCTTCTAAGAGGGGTTTGCGGATGGTTGTTTGGGAGAAGTTTGCGTCGCCGATTATTTAACACTCAGACATTTTATAGCTCCATGAGTAGAGAAAGATATGGTCTATTACTAGCAGACTTCGGCTCTGGCTATCCTCTAATATGCCGAAGCAGTTTCTCGGACTGATCGTAAAAATCCGGAACCATTTGTTAGACCCTTAGGAGATACAGGACACGTTGATCCCACATTATAGACTTTACGTTACTTAGGCAAATCAATACAGTAAACAAGAGAAACTGAAGGAAATTTCCTCTTCCAGTATCATAAGTAGACTAGATAATAAGAGGTACTGTCATGATATATCTATACCTACCAGGATAATTTTTTCCCCTTCCTTGATAGAAATATGTCTCGTAACGACAACTAACAGATACCGGATTTCAAAGCAGTATATGTCTTTACTCTAATTCATAATTACTACCGAGTGATTCAATTCCTTTCAATCATATTGACCAAGACAATAATATTCTTTTCCAACTAATCTGCACCATGTTACGGGCCCCTCAGGGGCTAGTTAACTAGTAGCAAGACAGACTCGCCAAGCAGAAAGCGCCAATAAAGATAGCGCTCAGGCAATCAGCAACTCTTATCCAGGAGAACTGCGGATTATTATCGTGATGCCCAGAACAGCTACACGTCACATAATAACGGGTATATAAAATGGACCATAGACAGAAATATAGTATATAGACTACTATAGTATATAGAAAGCTATTTGATCTGATCTATAGAGAATAGAATATATAAAAATACTCTTATATATTTAATTAATTCTGTTCTTCATACTTAATAACACTATCTTTGAATAAATAAATATTTAGAAGCTTAGCTACAGAATACTAATCTATACTAATTTTTAAATAACTGCACAGTTCTATTTAATTTTATTTCTCTTTTTTATCCAAGTCTAGTCATCTTCTTAGATATTTATCAGTCTGATACCCCTTGACTCAGTTTAACAGTCTGTATGCTAGTGGGGTTAAGTTGATAAGGATAAGGAAGCAATCCTAGGGTTTGATAAACCTCATGAAAGTAGTATTGGTTGATATAGGATCTATTTGGGCTTCGTAGGAGATACTGTTCCTGCAGACAACCTGCTCTATCATTGTCATAAGCAGCCTGACCTTGATTTTACAAGAACGGTGGACCAGAAACTCAGCACCATCAACATTTTCCAGTACAACCATCCAGTTCCCTACAGTATGTGTAAAATCATTACAGATACCTAGAAGCTTCCATGGCCGGAACAACACTTAGGTATCTATATTAACAGTATTGCTTTTCAGTTCTTTAAAGCTTTCTTACAGTTCTTAACCATGGTATAAAGAACAGTGGCGTAATATCTCCATACCTATCACCGGCATAGATTTAGCTTATTTGTGATATGTAGTCGATCGCGGTATATTAATCTCAAAAACTAGTAAAGCTGCCGAGCACAGAAAGCAGATAGTCATAAAGCTTCCACTATAGATTACACCAGTGAGATTAATAACATCAACCATGCTGAAGACGTGAAACAAATATCTTCCTGCAAATATTATACCAAGACGGAATAGCAGGTTTTTATAGAATATTACTAGCCGCCAAGTAGCAACTACATAGCAGCGTAAGTCAGGTATTTTCCTCAACTAGTAAGTCCAAAGAGACAATTCAACCAGAGAAAAATCATAAATAAGCATTATAACCCAGGCCTCTTCTGCACAGGAATTACAGTATGCTTGGTCACACAAATGCTGTCTTCTTACCCCCAGAGTTAACGAAAGATTACATAGTTGACCAGGGAATCTATCTGCATAGTCACACACCTGCTCAATGCGACTCTCCACTCTTTGAGCCTTGAGCTGAGACCACAAGCAGCTTAGCTCCGTTTACTGACTCGGAAATTTGCGAATCCTGGAAGTTGCCACAGAATTCCGTTGCAGAATCCAATATGATATGGGCATTTGCACCACCTATGCCAAACCCATTGATACTAACCCTTTGGCGTCGATCGGCGGGCCATTTCATGGGCTCTAAAGGGACAGTTAAACTGGATTCTAGAATTTTTCAAAGTGTCCAAGTTTAGATATGGTGGAATTGTTGAGCCTTCGAGTGACAGGATAGCTTTGATGAGACTCGTGATACCAGATGCACCCTCTGAATGGCCAAAGTTGGGCTTAACCTGTTCTGCTCAGCATTTCAGCCTGCAGGTAGGTATGGAATGCTCACCGCGCCAATAATGACCCCATTCGTCTTAAAGCAATTGTCAATTGCTGTTGTCTCAGCTGCGTCGCCTGCTATCGTTCCAGTGCCATAACACTCAAAGAAGGCAGTCTCCGAAAGATCGTTGACCCCAGCCTTTTTATATGCGTTTCGAATAAGACTCTCTTCAGACTCAACGGATGGGGCGGATATATTTGCTGTTTTCCCATCATAGTTCACAGCAGTTGATCGAATGACTGCCCTTATTAGGGTCATTTGCCTGCTTTGCACTGCTTAGGCGCTTTATGTACAGCACATTAATTGCTTCACCTCGACCATAGCCTTCAGCTTTGGCGTCGAACGTCCGACAAACACCACTTGGGGACAACACCATGTTATCAGATAGGCTTGTTGTCATGGTTGGCGACATGATAAGATTACTTCCAGCAACTATGGCCGATGAACAAGCTCCAGAGGCTAGTGTCTGACATGCTTCATGAAGTGCAGCCAGGGAGGATGAACAGGCAGCTTTGATAGTCATGCTGAATACAAAGGCAGCAGTTACTCGTTGATTCAAAATAGCTTGGGTCTGATTTTGTCACGACCTGGGACCTCAAAAGTCATATCTGTACGAAACACAGTTTGCCAGAACATAATCGCCCCTGCCCAGAGCATGATATCTGTCGACAGTCTGGGGATCTCTATGAGCAATACCTAACCAGTCTTCTCCAAAAACACCAACAAAGCAGCCGATATCTTTACCTTCCCAGTCTATTTCTCCCGCGCTCTCGAGGCATTCCCAAACCAGCTCTAGGAGGAGCCGCTGTTGCGGATCCATTCAGGTTGCTTCATGGTTTCGCACGGAGAAGAATTGGGCGTCGAAATAGGCCGGGTCTTCTTGCAGGAAATAACCATACTTTGTTCGAGTGGAGCGCTCTCTTGTCGGATGATAAAATGAATCGACGTTATATCTGCTCTTCGGCACCTCACCGAGGCCGTCTTCTTTCTTCATCAAACAATCCCAAAACTGATCGACTGTACGAACGCCCCCAGGGAGCCTCATTGCCATACCTACTATCGCAATTGTGGTAGATGAATCTGACGGTTCATTGTCCGAAGGCTTAGGACGCGAGACGTCTGGCAAGTCTACGTTCGATGTGCGTTCTCCACATAGAGCAACCGGGTCATCTCCATCAAGGCCAGGAAATGTTAACGGGGGAATCTCCTTTCCTGACGTGAAATAATTTCTCTCATCGTCTCCACTGGTTGCATGTGATGCTTGCATATTCTTCGTCATTGAGTGGTGTCGATGATGTGACAATCTAGGGAAAACCTCTCTGTGTTTCTGGCTAAATTTGCTTCAGAGAAATATACGATTATCGGCAGCCACCATATTCGGCAATCCAGAACTTGTACTACTAATTGTGTGACCTTTTTGGATTCTCAGGGGGCACATGGGATTTTGGTTGGGCGTTGAGCTTTGTCACTACACACAGCATATGAGTAGGAATTGTCGCAACCTAGTATGCAGTGTGCATGTGGTTATATTTCTAGGGAAGTAACCTAGGCTATATGACGTTAGCACCATGAGTTTGAGAGAAGATGGATTAAAAATTACTTGTCTGTCTCGCATCCAGAGATTGCAGGCTGATTACTCACTCACTGTGCTTTCAGGGCGAGACGACACAGATGCAGTTCTCAAGGTAACATACCGGGTCGGATGAAGCTCCAGGCCAGTTGTGTAACTCGTATACGTAGCACGATAATGCAGCTTTTGCGCGGCTCTTTCACGATGTGATATGCGACATTGCATATCACCCACTGTTCGAAAGGGACCTGAATAGAACGTTCCTGATGTCATAAAACGCTTTGTAGCTGCCGCAATAAGGTTGTATTCGCTGCCGGCAAGTGTCCAAATCCGAGATTGGCAAATGAAGCTGTCGAAAGACTTGTTAATCAATTTGGTGGCATTTCTTCGTCCAGGTGATGGTACGTGGACTGTTTCGTGGCATTTTCCAGCACTGTGGGACATCCCACGAGGGTGTGATAGATACGGATATGCGTTTTTGACAGTGACTTTTCCTAGGCGGCACAGTAGCGAATGGCGAGTGGTAACTCCGATTGGACTGGATTGCCCTGGATGTTAGCCTCGTAGTTACTCAACGAAGGTGATTGGAGCTGGCTTTAGCGTACCTCTGTGACGTTGACCAAATAGAATACTCACTTTACGATCCTGACCAACGGTAGAGTATACCGATGACATGGTTTCAGATATGCACACCACTGCGAATCATTCATCAAGAAGTTAAAATTTGGATCACTAAGGTCAGCAAAGACATAGGTAAGAGGGCCAGTATCCTCAAGCTGTTCTAATATCTGTTTGGCGCTGTATTCGCCAATATTTGGCTGCTGAAGTTTAAGTAATGGAGACAAGGTGAGCTTGAGGTTCACAGAGCAAACCTCTTGGCCGTGTGGCACATGATCGAAAGCCGCTTAGGTAGTACTTGTGAGACTTGTTGGTCGCCTCGTAATGTCAGTAACCACATAACCTAATCACCTGTCAAAAGACAGGCTTGCATCTATCGGAGTACTGAACTCTGAATGAGAGTAAGTAGGCACCAATAATCCTTACAAGAGCAATCGATGTCCTTTTCAGATAGAGATACGGAGAACCGTTGGAAACTCGGTAAATGCAGTTGGAAAATACTAGAGAACCCTCAGACCTCTCATTCTGCATTTGATGCCCTCGAGGCAGCAACTATCATAATGTTTCCAGGCTAACTAGAT